AGTGATTTAGAGCTTTGAAGTCTGAGTAAAAGCCCAAGGAATTAAGCTAGGATCGTGTTCGGAGATCAACGGATGATAATTAGAACGAACGAAGAATCGAGTAGGCATATTGCGCACTTTCTAGCAAAATAGACATAATTTTTTTGCTCAGAACTCCATTTGGGCTCCACAATAAATGCTGGAAATATAACTCAAAGGGCTACAACTTTCATGTTTTACGTTTTACCAAATTCTTAACAGAAGAGGGTAAAAAGTGTGCGTCAAGAGCGCGGTCGCGCTCGTCAAGCAGAATCAAAGTGGATATGCGTGGTCTAAGCGCGGCCGCACACGTCTTGTCCAGAAAATGTGTCTTTTTTCACGTAGGAGAAGGTGTAATTGTTTGGGCCCAACCCTACTTGGTATATATACATGGAAAAATAATATTTTGAGAGGTTGGACAGATTTGAGACACAGATTCGACCTAAGGAGGCAGAGACACAATAGGAGCAAGGCGGAGAATTCTTCTACGAGTTTTCCTTCCTCTTCCTATTTTTCATTGCTGGTTATGACTTTTAGTATTGTAGTTTTACATACTATTATGAATAGTTAATTTGTTTTCTAGGGTTATTGATGGAACCTTTTGTATGATAAATTCTTGTTTTGTTTTTATATAATTGAGCTGTAATATTTTCTCTATTTGTTCAACTATATTATTCTTGTGGTTGATTGAAGGGCCCTCAATTAGCTGTACTTGTTTAGTATGTATTACTAGGGAGAGAGTACATATTTAGGTAGTTGTTGAACAACATCATTCCCGACGTATGTGAGAAATCAATAACCATGGGTTTAAAGGTGGGATTAGGGATAACGAAACTTTGGGTGTGATCTAAGTGAGTTGTAAAGCCAGCTAGCGTAACTCGGGAGACTATGTCTAGTATATTATCGTAATTACTCGGGAGAGAATTACAACATGCAGAGCGCTCATGATCGGTAGAGAATACTTAGGCAAAATTATAGAAGACATAGAGGGAAGGATTCTGATAATTGGGGAAATCATAACTCTAGACCTCCTTAATCTTTTCTCCAACCTGTAGTATCTTTAGTGTTAATTTATTATTTTAATTTATTAGTTAGTTAGTTAAACACAAGAATCTTAATATCTATAAGTTAGGAATTGTTCAAGCTTGCATTCTTGGTGATAGTGAGCAATTGTATCTAAGCCTTAGTTCTCTGTGGGATTCGACTCCGGACTTATAAACTAGATTATATTTGCAACGATCGCTTTGTCCTTTTTATAAGGCATAGTTGGGCGTGATCAGTAATATTGCTCTTACTGCTATCCTCGGAAGCATTGCTCTCAGAGCAAAACTTGCTATTTCTTTTGATTTTAACGTTAAGTCTCACTTTTAATTTAATTTATGTATCATTTTTTATCAAACCAATTCGCTTGTCTATAAACCATGCAATAAATTTAACTGTACCATTTTATGGATAAACAGTTTGGCACCCACCGTGCGACTTAGGCAATTGCGTAATTGAGTTAATCCTTGCATCTATCACTAACTTGTTTGATTCTTTGTTTCATAGCAAAAAAAATGATAGCTAACGATGTCAACATCGCGCACGGCGCTAAGGCACCCAAAAATCTGCCTCAACATAAGGATTCAATCAATGACACTTGTAACGAGAGGGACGTTGCAACTCCAGTCCATGGTGGACAATATCCCCGACATATGAGCAAAATGACTCCTGATGAAGTGAAGGACGATCATGTTGCGGAAACAACAAGGATCTTGAGAGACTAACAAAAATCCATCATGGGCCATCTCTCAAGGCAGGACTAAATCATGACAGAATTAAAGCAGGCATTATCAGGCGCTTCCAACAATGCAAACGGAAGAGGCCCAGCTCCTCCTGGTGTTCCTGCAAATCAGGCGGCTCAAAGAGTTGATAATAACACCCCGAGGGTTGAGGTCGACTTCAATGGAGCTGGGAGGGACCGGTAGCGGATCCAGTAATGACAATGATAAAGATCGCTTCAAAACCGAACTCATGAGATTCATCAGAGAAATGAACGAGCGGATGGATAGGAACACGAAAGGGTTCCACACTTGAATGGACCAAATTTCGGATGCACCACTAGTGTTGAAGGCCCGGACTTGAAGAAGTACACCCAATTTTCATTTAAACCGAGCGCAACACCAGAATTGATTCTGAAACGATTCAAAATGTCGGCCATACCGAAGTACGTGGGACTTCAAACCCTTAGAAGCACATCACAACTTATACAACGACAGTGAAAGGAAACGACTTGGCCCAACATGAGATTAAGTCTGTCCTGCTGAAGAAATTCAGAGAAACCCTCACGAAAGAGGCCTTGACATGGTATTCGCTTTTACCCGAACATTCAATTGATTCTTTTGAAATGCTCGCAGATTCTTTCATTAAAGCCCATGCCGGAGACATGAAGGTCCAGGCCCGTAGGCAAACGTATCTTTGGCACTAACAAATTTGACTCAACGGGTGGTGAAAGAGAAGGGATAGAGAGAGTAAGATACTTAGAAAACTTGGTGGAGGTGAAAGTAAAATTTTGATTTAACCAAAGAGCCTATATTTATAGATTTACGATGACGGTTCGGCGGTGCTAGTGGTTGATCGCCACTTGCAAGCATTAATGGTTTAGGGAACTGTACCTAGGAGTGTCAATGGTTCGGTTCGGCCGGTTATTTTATAAAATTTGTATCATACCAATTTTTCGGTTATTCTATTATGTATAACCAAAATTAGACTTTTCGAAACCGTCCCAATCATGTCGGTTTCTCTTCGGTATCGGTACGGTTCGGTTAATTTTCAGTATTTTTTTAATATTATATAAAATTCACTAGTAGAAGTAGAATTGCAATAACATACGTTCTTTTATAGGACTTAGCAAAACTCTCTAGACATTTTTAATGTTTAAAGGGTGATGAATTAAAAAAAATGGCTAGAGTATAGATCCATCAACTATTCTACAACAGCGTAAAAGAATTAAACAAAGGCAAAGAAAATATTAATCACATGAGTTGAAAGATATACCAAGCTGGGACTCAAGAATAAAGTCAATCGAAGATTAAATATTCAAAAAGATAAATCTAAATTATATGAAAGGAAACATATTCAATACATTGTAGTTTGCTACTCATAATCGCTAGAATACTTTGTGTCTTGCTAATAAAGATACTTGAAATAACTTAGTTTAAGTAGAAGTAGCATAATAGGTTTTAGGAATTAGTATTTTGAGTTTAATTACTTGTTGGCTTGTAATAGTTTTCAAAATTCCAAGGCTCAAGGAAAATTTAATGCATTATTATTTTTAAACTTACTAAATAAATATAATTTCTACATGTAAAATTTATTCGGTACGGTTCGGTATTTTTTCGGTTTATTTTTATAAAATAAATAACCTACCCTAATTATCGGTGTGGTTATATATTTATATAAAAACCTACGGTTTCTTACAAAGAAACCTAAAAAATCGGTTCGGTGCGGTACGGTTCGGTCGGTTTAGTCGGTTTTCGAATATCTATTGACACCCCTAACTGTACCGATGTGACGTTTCGGTAACCTCAATTGCTCACATCACGAGGATGATGTCATAATTGATTGATGAACGAAATCGAAGACTCAGTTCATTCTTTTCATTACACTCTAAGAAACGAGGGTATGTATACGGGTAAAATCGGGCTTGCCCGATTTTGTCATTATTTCGAGATTAGAGGACTTCCTCAAGGGTCTGCCTCGTAAGGGATCAGACTTGAACACGGAGACAAAGCACCTAGTTGGAGATCGAGGCACCCGTCGAGATCGGATATGACCGGCTTCGAGCGAAACACAATAATGGAAAGGCGAACTATCCGTAACCGGTCGGAGATCATGGTGAAAATCTCGAAAAGGATCAAATCAAGGGCGGTTATTTGTATCAATCATGAGATTTACTTATGTAATTAGAATTGTACCTCAATTAGGATTCCTCTAGTATATAAAGAGGGATCCTCATCATTTGTAAGGACCCTCACAGTGATACAAATCAAGGCAATATAATATTTCTTTCTTCTGCTCATCAGCTTACTGCTCTTTAATTATTGTTCTTCAATTAGTGTTCTTTGACTGTTCCCGCTTTATCGTTCTCGAGGGTTCACCAAGCTCGAGGATGCTGTCCAAACGTCGGTTTGTTCTATATTCTTATCAATTTCATCACGTATCTCTAAATTAACCAATTGGTATTAAGTGAAATCATGTATCATTGAAATCACATTACAAGTTTAATTGTTACTCGATTTTTAGGTTAAACACTACCCTTAATATTAATTGTTCTTGAAGGTTACAAATACCTTAATTATGTTTAAGTACTAAATGAAGAGAGATTATATCCTAAGACATAAAAAAGAGTAAAATACTCAAAAATATTTCCTATTTAATATTTTTTAAAGGTGTATAAAAGAGAAACAGATAGATAATTTGAGATGGATGGAGTAGGAAAGAAAAAAGAATTTTGCAAAAACAAATTTAAAAAACTACTAAAATTAGCATGAACTCACGATTTACTACTTTTGAGGTAGGGGGAATAATATCTATAAACAACTGTATCCGTGCGTCATTTGAGGGATTAGTTGAGGAAACAGAGTGTTTACGTTATATAGTTAAGGAATTAGTGCCAAACATTTGCTAAAGGTTTTAAAAAGGTATATAGTTATGTAAAGAACCCTCTTTTTTTTTTTTTACTAATAAGTGACTTTATGTTATAAAAAATTGTATATTGACTATTAATGATACTGTAAAAACCCAAAAAACTTTAGAAGACATTAGGCCCATGAGTTGTCCGCCGAGAAAGGACTTTAGCCTAGCAACAAATGATATATATTTTATATATTCCTATTATTTAGAAGCGAGAATAAGCAGCTTTTCGTCGTCTAGGGGTATTTTAGTCTTTTCAGCATCATCTAGACAGACTGTAAGCCTACAATTTTCTTTACGGCATATTTTATTTTACACTTTTCCGTTCACAGTGTCTTTCTCTCTCTCTCTACATACGCGGCTCTTTCTCCTCTCAGACGTGTAACATCAACATCCTCTTGCTTTTGGTGCTTTGAGTTGTTTTGTTACCTTGCAAACACCTGTGTTTCACAGAGACCAACAATATATTTTTGGGGTTAAACATTATCTCTTCAGGTTTTCATGGGGATTAGCAATATATTTTGGGGGTTAAACATTATCTCTTCAGGTTAGATTACTTCGATGCCCTTGTTTCTGGCAAATCTGATGTTTACTTTTAAGGTTATATTGGACAGTTTATAGAAGTGTTTAGCTATGATAGTTGAATAAATTCTGGATTACGCTCTGTTCTGCTTGGGTTTTCTGTCGATGTTTCTCGCTTCGCTTCTCCACTGTTCAGCTTTTCGTCTCTGTGCTCGTTTCCTGACAGGTTATTACTTTATCTGATCCTTAATTTTAAGATTAGACTAGATAACTTGTTGAATTTTTCAGTTGTCTGATGTTTATTAATTACCAGTTACAAAAGTTAAAGGGATAAAAATTATCGTGTTAACTGAAGGTGACTTTCTGATGAGCAAAGTCAATGGATTACGAAGAAACAAAGATAATAGTTGTATTTATATAATTAGAAGAACCCTATATGGTAGATCGAAACTTATACAGTAGAGTATAAATAAAGTGTTGACCATTTTATTATACTGACGATTGTTGATTTTTGTAGAATTAACTTCTTATTTTGTGAAGCAGCTGTTACCTTTCAATGGATCTTGACACACTGAAGCTGAATCCTCTTGGATTAACATATGCTTTTTCAATTTATGTATGTGCTCTGGAGCTTTGTGCGAATGTTTGTGTGATTTATGAGCTGAAAATAGCTTATTGTAGCTCTTTCATACAATCTTTAATGTGCTGACTAAATTACCCTCCTACTGATATGCGATCATCAGGCCAGACCCACTTTTCCAACCCAACCACCTTACTTTCTTCTTTCTGTTGTCATTAATTGATATAGTGTTGATTTAAGATTATATAAAGCAAAAACCTCAGCTTGCATACTCTTCTTTTAGGCTAATAAATTAAATTTAACCAAGGTTGCTCCTTAATTATATTATTTTATTCTCTTGATTTTTTGGGTTCCGCTTTCCTGCTACTTTTTCCTCTCTGCTTGTTCGCTATAGGTTATTATTTTACGTTTCATATTTCATCTCCTTCTTCATATTTATGTGCCTGAGTTAACTGAAAAAGTTTCTTTATTAGAAGTACTTATTATCTTTTTCTGATAGAAATATATAAAGGACTACATAACCAAGTTGCTCTGTTTTTCCTCGGTGGATTTAATAACAACAAGAAAATCAGAGTTACTCAAGTCCGGAACTTGTTAATGGGAAAGACTTTTAGTCTTCCCTTGGTCTACTTGTTTTTCGATTCTTCGGTCTAAGAAAACAATCTTCCCTTGATCAAATTGTGAACTATTTTACTGTTACAGCTATATTTTAACTTGTTGTAGTCTCATGGGAATTTCTTTCTAAATGAACACTCACACTGCTATATTATTTTTTTCTTATACTTCGGTTCGTAGTAGATAAAGCTTATTTGATTCTCAGTAAGGAATTGAAATAATCTTTCGAACGGACTCCATATGCTTCCAAAGGGAACTAATATATAAAACAATCAGGGAAAACTTTTACTGATGTATCAGCTGTCTAAACTTATCTTTTCACTAAAACTTACTATTTTACCTACGTACTTGTCATGTTAATATGACACGGATAGCGTAAGAAGGAGAGAGATGACTTTTTCGACGAATTTCTCTCTATATATTTGCATATACTTCTGAACTTGTCGTGCTTTTGTGCGGTTTTGACTTTACCACAAAATATCTTTCAACAAATGATGATTTATTATTTTTTGTTCTTCTTCTTCTTTTCCACTGCAGAGAGAATATATGGAGTATAGATTAACCATTGATAAGATCACTCCACAAACAAAAGAGTGGACCTCAAAGGTACATCTCATTAAGAAACCTCGGCCAAGGAAAAGTAAAGATGGAAAGACCCGATTCCAGATTGTTGTTGTCCAAGACGAAAATGTAATTTTCTGTGTACCGTGCTACTACTTCTTTTACTGTTTGAAATATAATTGCAATCACCATTATTTTTTAATTTAAACAAAAGAAAGAAACTTATCAGCTTAAGTTATCATATAGTTAATTATTTCTTCTGGCGTAGCCTATGTTAAAAAGTAAATATTACAAGAGCTCTCTAAAGTCGGATTGTACGCATTTACCATTCGCTCCTGATTCATATTTTCTTGCCCAGCCTCTTTGAATTAAAAGTTTAGTACCAAACTTTTGTGTTTCTGTTTTGGATTAATTACTTCCTCCCTTTTAACCCTTGGTTTGTCTAAAAGGATATTTTGGCATTAGTTTTTGCTCTTGCCCTGTTCGAAAGTTGCCTTCATTGACATATCATTTTTTTCCAGCTACTAATAGGACTAACCAGCTGTGCTGGATTTTATTCGTTCTAGGAGCTATCAGTTTGGATTTTAGGAAGCCTTTTTGAAAATAATTACTGCATGTGCCATCAGAACATTTGAATTTTATGCATGCTTAGCACTTTTTACATGTGTTTCTTTTTCATCTCTCTGTATATTGGTATAAACAATATAGTTAGGCACTTTGCACCAATTAATATATCGACCGAAAATGTAGATCTAAAGAAATATAATTATAATATCCATATCATTATAGCTATCTTACGTCTGTATGCTCATTTGTTTCATTATGTTATAACTACAAAATATATTGAACAACTATTGTCTTTTCTGGTACTTATTTTGATTTGCAGTATCATTGTACAAATATTGGCTCGGTTCTGAAAACATAAACTTTTTTTGTGCAGAAAACTAGAAAGTAGCAGATGAGTATATGTGATTGGCACACATATATATTTTCACAACTGATAAAGTTTTGATGTCAGTTTCAAATCCAAAGAAACACTAATTAAACAAATATCTGTTAATTAAAGAAATAACTGACTCATGATTCTCAATTGGGGCACAATCATTATTAATGTGACCAAATATTCATGTTGTTGTAGCTATTTGGCATATACCATTATCTTTACATAATCTTGATATATTGTGTTGCTACAATGCTCTACAAATAACTTCTCTACAGACTTGTCATGTATTTCATGAGTTTAAGGCAACGAGTACTGCACTTGTTGACTATTTGAATATTTCAATACTCTATATTTATATGTCTCTATAAATTTATATCTACACACTTCTGTAGAGGCTGGTAACTAAATCATGACAATATCAAAATACAGGAAGACAAAGTAGCTGCTGTTTTGTATGGAGAAGACATAGAAAAGGATGCACACAAGCTAACTCCGTTTTCCACTTACTTGATATCTACTGCAAAAGTGAGGATTCCTCTACCCTACAGAGTACCTACGAACCGTTTTGAATGGGTTATCGATAGATTTACTGTTGTCGAAGAGGTGAAAGATGACAACATACAAGACCCACCGCTCCCACCTCCGACAAGGTTGAACACTATACATTTTGCATATCTGCAGGAGCAACAACAAAATAAGGAATTTGGTAACCATAATTTTACGCGTACTACTCTTTCACAGTTAAAGTTATTTGTATGCTTACATTCTGGGACTGTGTACATTCGTCTAAATTATAAGCCACTTACAATGTCCATTAAACAGACATAATTGCTGTCGTGGTGAACTGTGGGTCGATAAAGTATGATGGCGCTAACAGTAACAAATGTCGTGAAATCATCATAATGGATACCGGGTAAGTGGGCTAGCATTCTATTTATCTTTTTACTTTCACTACAGGTTCCAAAAAAAATTGGGTACAAATATATTGCCAGATACTATATCACGATGTCATCTTACTTGATTACTTTGGTCAGACTCATTTATTGCACCTTCAGCTTGATCCATGCCGCTTACCTTACCGTTTTGCTTAACAAATTTAATCTTTGTATGAATAGAACAAAGCATAAGATCCCCAAAAGGAAACTGTATCAGCTTTCAGACATAATCCAATTTTCTCTTTATCTTGACATTTTGAGCTACAATATTTCAGTGATCACCATGCTTTAGTACAAATTTTTATTTTTACCTTGCCCCAGATAAAATCCAGCATTGCTCATGAGAAAAGAAATGCGAAGAAGTTTGAAATGTGTCTAATACTGCTTCTTTTAATGTAAATATTGACTGCTATTATTTGAAACATCTTACTCACGAAGACTTCATTAGCCAATGGGAGATCGAAACTCCCCATTTTCTATTGTCCATGTCATTTCTGTAGCTAAGCATGATTCACATATAATATCAGTTAAGAAGTTTTATTACTCATTCCAGAAGATCATCCGTTCAAAAAGATTTATTATTTTCAAATGTGAAGGTACCTTTAATATATTAGATAGACGTGTCTCATTTCTCCAAATGATCTCTTACTTCCTCAAAAAATATTAGACAACTTCTTAAGTTCCTATATAGGCAAAAAAAATCTCTTCTCAATCTTTATACCTGGCAATTTACTTGGTAATTTATTTGTTCTATTTTTTGTGCCCTAAAATATAAATTTTTATTATGTATTCAGTACGTAGCTTTTAGAAAATGCAGTGATAAACTACATACTCCAGTAGTCATTAGTTCCAAACTGAAAAAACCTATATGAGTCATGCTGTATTTGTTTGCTTAGACACGCAAGATGCACCATTTAAAAACCTTTTCTGCCAACTTTCAATCTCCTGCTCCAACGTGTCAGTTAATTCTTATAGCATTGTTTGAATTACGATTTTACCAAATTGTCTCTGTTATATTTATATTTACATACTTTTCTTTGTTACTCTTACTGACATTATTACAATTGTATTTTGTTTTGGATAGTGTCATTTATTGTCCATTCCTTTTACTGTAGTATGAACTCTTTTATCCTTATGCTGTGGGAAGACTTCGACGACGTTGATGGAAGCATCCTAGCTGCACAGGTTGCTAAATATCCAGTAATTGTAGCAAAGCGAATTACTCGAACCACCTATGGCGGTATGGAAAAAAATTACCCTTTTTTTCCTATTGCAAGAGATCTGTTCTGAATTCTTTACTAATATAATGTGTCATATAGGATTATCATTGTCGACAAGGTACAACTCAGTCATACTGATAAATCCACCATATCCTCAGGTTGGAAGGCTTCAAAACTGGTATGGAACAAATATTGATGTAATTGAATTTTATACTTCGCTATTTATTTCATGCAAACTGAACATGTGTAGGTAAAACTAGATGGACTAGCATATGCAATTCGTCGTCGTACCACCATGTTTTCCTGCTTACCAAAAAAAAGGGACATGCTTAGCAGGCTATTAGTTCAAAATTTCTCTATCAGTTAATTACAAGTTTATTACAATTTGGTATCTATGTATCTTCATTTAATTAGTTTTGAACTACATTGCATCTCATTGTACAATATAAATTTATGAGTTTAAAATCTTACAGCTTACACGCAAACTTTTTCACCAAAATAATTTACCGAATAGTTCTTGAGGATGTGTGACGTTGTCCTTACATTCAGTGACTATTTTGGTACGCTATATGTAACATTGCTAAGAGCAACCAACACTTCTATGCGCTTCCAATATATACTTCTATTCCTTTGATTATCTATGAAATAGTACTGCACCACGTTGGTTGTTGCGATAGTTGATCTACAATCAGACAAATAAGGTAATATTGTCATTCAACAGTGACTAAATTTCTACAAAATGAACTTATTCTTCAAACAGGAACTGTCGCTGTCACTTGAGCTAATAACCAGAGTTTCTTATCTGTATCCTCAGAAAATGGCTACGCTATATGTCAACATAACACATATATGTACTATATGTTGGAGTTGTGGTCGGGTGAAAATTATGTTATCTGTATTATAGTTATGGTCAATTGAAAGATGCAGTTTTTTTGGGTACTTTCTGTTAATTTCCCGTGCTTCTACGTAATAATTTCTCATTGAAACAACATATTCCTACTTTTTCCTACGTCTTTAAAGCTTATCACAACCTTTTAGTGTCATTTAAAATGTACCTGACATTTTGTTGGCAATGAAATGCTCTATACATGTACAGGGTCGCAGACAACCGACCAAGATTGATGAGATACAGTCAGCAAAATTCTTCGAGGGCTGCTTTGTCACTTGTGATGGCGCCAGAAGATAATGATATTGTACCAATTGCTAATATTTAGTCACAACCTCTTGTATGTGTATTTCCTGCTTGCTAATATGTATACATCTAAGGTACTTTACTATTTTAACCCCAACTGAATTAATCTACTTCTATCCCCTTCTTTCACAAATACAACTCTTTTATGTGGAAGGTAAATTATCATTGCCGACTAATGACCAAGATTTCTATGAGTTACTATGTTCACACTGTGGGCAGCAGTACAGAACTCATTCGCCGAAAATTATTCGTTGTGCGAGCTGCAACCAAAGTGTGATGTTAACACCCAGGTATTGTGGCTTACTGTCCGAGCTTAATAAAATATCTTCGCTCAACATCTTCAAACAAAAAAAAAGTATGTTCTGTCATTGGCTTGAAAATACTAATGTTTATTCGTATATTTCTTTTCTATGTCAAATAATGGGAAGCAAATATGGATATTCCACAAAGCAAACTTGGATCAAAGTTCAATTGTAAAAATATTTATTTAATTGATTCATGTACGACACATACAATATTCAAAGAGAAGAAATATTTCTCTCATTTAAATATGTGTAAGGCAAATGTTACTATAATTTCTGGTAGTAGTAAATTAATTGAAGGCTCTGTGTGACGACCCAAGGGGTCATCACCGTAATTTTTCCTTGTTCCGTGCTCCCGAGGCCTTGAAA